ACGTGTGGGGGGCGGAAAAATGGCCATGGACCACGTGTCAGGGGCGGAAAAATGGCCATGGACCACGTGTCAGGGGGGGAAAATGGCCGCGGACCGTGTCACCGGAGGGAAAATGGCCGCGTATCCTAATCGTACCCCGAGGCAGAGTTCGCAAACCGAAGCAAAATTTTGCGGCTGGAGCCGGTCGTAACCCGAAAAGTTCGTTAACAGAAGCGTTCGTAACCCGAGGTTCCACTGTATAGGATTTTCATTTCAATGCTATTCTAAGTATTAGTTCAAGGTGCCCAAAGTTCATTAAATTAGATCCTAGAATTTTTTGATAATATTGATTCTACTGGTAGAAAAATATCAGGGTTTTTCAAAGTTTTTTTTTTCATTTTTTGCTGGATCATTGTTTGATATTTGTTTTGTATAATGAAAGTAGACCTCAAAATAGAGGTAGTAGAGTTCAAAAGAAACTCTATATCTGGTTATGGCTACTTGTTTTATACATTGGAGTGGTGGTGTTGGGAGGTAAATGATGATTTATTGATACATTATGCAAAGACCTAACTCTCTGGAGAAGGCGCTAATGCTGAAAGAGAAGAGGATGATCAGCAGCAAGGTGGATGGACTCAGTTACAGTGGTGATGGGTGCACTGTTGGAAGACCTGAAAGACCAGGTAGGGACAGATCATCATGGAGAAAATCTATGTGTGTGGTCACTAAGTGTCAACAACAACTTGATATACATAATCAATCAATCATTCTTTGCAAATGGTTTGTTAAAGCTAGGTTTACTATATACATACTGTACTGTACATGCAGATTATCACAGCGTATAGCACATGTGATACAATAGGCAACTGCTTTCGCTCTGAAACTGGCTTCATTACCAAGTTATTATTTTACATCTGACTCTGATGGGCTTCCATAAAAATTTGATCTGAAGTCAGTCTATTTACATTCTTTCCTTCTTTAGCAGAGACAGCAAAGATTTCACAGAAATATATAGCGGTGCTGCACTAAGGTATTGTGCTTAGATATAAGACCATGCTGAGTAAAAATACAACTTCTACTGTGTAAAATATTCTTTGTACATTTTATTACTAATGCTATATACTTTCTAAGGGTTATAGACAAATTGTATGGCCAATTCTTGAACAGGTATCTTTAATGGTGTGAATAAAGTTTCAGCAAGTTTTTGTTTTTCTCTGAGATCGCCAGCTACAAAGAAAATTATCTGAGTTATTTAGAAGTGATCTTTAGTTTAGATATTTGCTTGCATATACATTGGCAATAGAGGAAATCCTGCAATTTAAGGAGTATTTATGTTAACCACTGCCTCAAGTGAAATTTAAATGTATTATTATACATTTGTGCTTTCTAATATTTGTATTATTTTGTTTTAAAATAAAGCAGTCAGCTGTCAAAAAAGAAATGCAGCCAAGTGAACTGGAGTTACCAACTATACAAGTGGCACCAGTGGAAACAGACAGCATGAAATTTGTAAGGTTCAAAATGATATTGTAGAAAGATGAAAAGTTTTCCTATTACAGTGACATAAGGACTGTTTGAATAAAATCTGCATTAATACATTTATCATATTCTAACAGAGTAGAATTTAGGTTTTTATGAATTATTCATTTCAATGGGAATGGGATGGGAACATGAATTCCTTCTCCCCAGTTTGCAGCTCACTGGCTTCTCTGACTTCTGAAGCACATGTAAAGGGCTGCAGTTCTGTAGAGTAGGTGATTATATTCACTCCTGTCCAGTGTTAGTACTTCTAGATCCATGGAAATATAATAACAAACTATCACATTATATTTATTATGCGTGCATCTTACGTTTTCCCCAAAGAGCTCAAGGTAACATACATGGCCCTTCTCTTCATTTTTATCCTCCTAGGAACTCTGAAGTAGGTGAGATTAAACATTGGGTAATTGGCCCAAAGTCACAGTGAGCCTCATGGATCAGTGATGATTTGAATCTGAGTATCTACAAATAGTAATATTCTCTGATCACATATATTTATTTAAATGCATCCCACTGCATCCAAGAACCATGCCTGGAGCTGGAGTAGCAATGGAGACAGTGGCAGGACTGAAGGGAGGTTACATGATCTTTTTGATTGCCTGGGCCTGCAACAATAGTGATTGGTGTGGTAGAGGCAGACTGGAGCCAGGTAGAGTGTTTTTTTTTTTTGGTAGGATTTTGGACTGGACTTGAGATCTTCTAGGAGGGGGAATCTTCCGTGATGGAAGACACCACAATGGTTGGATTGACAAGCCTCAGTGAGCTGGCAAAAGGTGGGGTGGTCAGGAATGAAGGTTGCCCATGAGTAGGGAGCAGAGCATGGGACATTCCAGTATCTGGAAGTTGGCAGGGGGCCTGGGACCAAGTAATTCAAGGGACCGTGTTGTGGGGTCTCAGATAATCAGAGGTGGTTGGGGGGGGGTGTGCTCCTGCGATGCCTGTGTCTTGTACGTGATTCCTGGTGACATCCCACTGCTGCTTTACCTAGTGGACAGAACTCCTGTATTTGGAGTTGGACAGCTTCATGGGTAAGAATCGGGGGGACTGAGTATAGCCTGACCTGCACTAAGACTTGGGGTGGGATGGGGAGGGAGTATATGGGACTGGTGAGAGAGGCGTAGTGGTTAAAGCATCAGGCTAGAGAATGGGAGATCATGAGTTCTAGTCCCACCTTAGGCACAAAGCCAGCTGGGTGACCTTGGACTAGTTACTCTTTTTCAGCCCTAGAGGCAATGGCAAACCACTTCTGAAATCTTGCAAAGAAAACTGCAAGGACTTGTCCAGGCAGTTGCCAGGAGTCAAGACTGACTTGAAGGCATTAAAAAAAAAAGACGACAGATTACTGTTTGTTCATTGAACTCACAGATGGCTCTGGTGGTATCTCTAGATAGGGAAAGACCATTGCCTTTGTCACAACTCATTTTGACTACTGCAATGCACGCCATGTGGGACTGTCTTTAAAGACCACTCAGAAGTTTTAAGTGGTTCAAAATGCAATACTGTTTGGCACTCGCCAGTGGGAACATACAACATCTGTGCTACAGGCCCTTCATTTACTTCCTATAAGCTTCCAGGGAGATTTTTTTTAGATTTTTTTATCCCGCCTTTCTTATTTTTATAAATAACTTAAGGTGGTGAACATACCTAATACTCCTTCCTACTCCTATTTCCCCCACAACAACAACCCTGTGAGGTGAGCTGGGCTGAGAGAATGTGACTGGCCCCAAATCCTGGTGTTAATCTATAAAGATTTTTATGGCTTGGCATCAAGTTACTTTCAGGATTGCATTTGCCCACTAGAATCGACCTGAGCTTGCCAGGAAAAACAGCTAATGGTTCCCCTCAAGTTTGAGAGGCTCAGAGGCACTGTTTCTCTGTAGCAGTGCCAGTCCTCTGGAATGGCCTTCTGGTGGAGCTTAGGCTGAAGAAGCAGAGCTCTTCCAGAGGGCATTTGGGTCGCTGCCTGGTTTTGAATTTTTGGCTTTTGCATGTTTTAAAGGGTTCATTATTTTAATCTGACTGTGGATGTTTTAGAGGTTTTTCTGTTCCTGGAAATTGCTGAGAGTCCTGCATGATTGTGGCAGGGTATGCATATAATAAATAAATAATACCTAAATCCCTTTTGTACGACTAAAACATATCATTGAAATGTAAGCTACTTATACTGATTTATTTATTTTTTAATTTCAAGAAGCCATCTCACATTAGAAAGGAACGAGGAATCGAATTTGTATCTCCATCTGTATACCAAGGTGTGCAACTGACACCAGAAGATGCAGTGCAGTTAGGCCAGGTATATTTGAGCCCCTCTTAAAGAAAAACATTTGTTTCTTAACCTCTGATCCTATGCTCTATTCTCAAGGTCTCCAAGGACATCAACGTGTCCACCGATATCTTCCATGGTATCCTCGAGGTTCTCAGCTCCGCCTGACTGGAATATTTTTTATATAAAGATAATACATAAATAGGAAAGTGGTCAAATTTCTTTATCTGATTTAAACTATGTCTTTGTTTTTGCTGCAATGAATGACCTAGTTTTATGCAAAGGTTTCATCTTGGTGCCCTCTCCTATTTTGAATTAAAACTATTATAGTCTGGTTTAGGCTGGTCCAAGTTGAAGCCCAAAAACATTTGAAAGGTGCCAGTTTGCTGATATCTGGTGTACAATTATATGGTCTGTCAGAGTTACAAAGAACTTCCATAATGAAACTTGTTTTTGACGCTCTGCCATGCATCTGTTAATATAAAATTGTATGTTTATATATTTGGGAGCAATTAATATTTTTTTGAAAATATGTTTTGAAAATTCCTCATCTGAAAGAGATTCTGCTTTCCTTTCCCTCCTGTCTTAAAAATGCCATTAATCTCATTAAATTGTTTTGATGAAAGGTGATTTGTATAGAGTTGCAGCAATAAAGTTGCTACAAAATTTAATTATCATTAATTTTATTAGTGGCAGTTTTGAGAGTATTCTTTGAGAAACCCCTGGAAATCAAATTGACAATACATAACATATTGTGTGCATAACACATTTCTACATTCTTCTATGACAGTTAAAAATTTAGTTTGGGCTTTGTGTGTGTATTTTTGATTTTTGGTCAAAGTACATTGTTTTTATGCATTATTATTTTTCACAGAGTAAGGATGTAAGTTTACGGAAGGGGAGCATTTTCCGCAAAGTACAGCAAGAAGGGGAAGATTACGCTGTTGAGGTGAAATACAAAATAATACATATTTTCCCATTTCTCTGTCTTCTCTTTCTTGCTTCTGATGCTACTGTTTGTAAGTCCTTTTGTAGATTAGCGTTATGCTACCTGTTAATATGGTGGTTAGTAACTGGCTGGGGCCTCTGACACCCAACTTAGTCAGTGGCTTTTGTCCTTGCAGTGCCTTGCTGTTAGTGGTACTTGTTTATTATTGTGTACTTTAAATTGTTAAGTTCTAATGAATTTATTTAACTCGGTTTGATTGTTCTACTTGTTTTTATGGATTGTACCTCATGACATGTATCTAGATCCTCTAGATATTGGGTAGCCTATAAATATTTTAAATAAATAAATAACAAATTCAAAGCAGTGCCAAATTGTTAAAAATAACCCAAAGACAGGATCCAGTTTGGTGTAGTAATTTAAGGCACCAGGCTAGAAACTAGGAGACTCTGAATTCTAGTCCTGCCTTAGGCACAAAGCCAACTGGGTGACTTTGGGCTATTTACTCTCTGGAAGAAGGCAGTGGCAAACCACTTCTGAAAAATGCTTGTGAGTAAAGTTGAGGAATCAAGATTGACTCCAAGGAAAAACAAGACAAAACAAAACTAGCAAAGACACAGTGTTCACTGAAAATGGTAGTTAAACGTTCATAATGTTTACAGTGGTGCTTAAACATTTGTGAATCCTTTTGAATTTTCAATATTTCTGCATAAGTAGGACCTAAAATGTGATATCTTCTCCGCACAAGCCCTAAAACTAGATAAAGAGAACCCAGTTAAACAAATGAGTTAAAAGCATTTTGGTTGTTCATTGATTTATTGAGGAAAATGATCCAAAGCTACATATTTATGCAAATACTGGTAAAAATTAGTGGATAGTTCATGGTCTACTGCAGATAAAAGAAAGCTTTTCAGAGAAGTATAAATGGCTGTTTATAAGAGCATGCTTCTGTTCACTTTCTTATATGAAAGTGAGAGTGGGATATAGCATGTTTGGTATGTATGTAGTATGCAGCATTGTTATTGTCCTTTATCATTTCTCCCAGGATATATTACGAACCCGACGAAGGACAAGTATTTTCCTGAGAAAATATGAAGGACAAGTAGTACCTTCAGAAGCTGCAGGAGTAAGAGAATATCTTGCTGTAGAACAGGTAGAATATTGCAAAACTGACAACTCCTTTGGTTTTTTTCAGTGGGGGAGTATTATACCTCTCATAATAGATTATAGGACCAAATAGCAAAAAAAAAAAAAGCCTTTTCAGGATGGAAGAACCAATTATTTTATCAAATCAAACCTTTATTATGGCCTTTGGGCCAGAAAGTTCCAATTATTTTACTGTGCCTTCTAGAGAAGAATAGGATATTGGTTGCTCCTGAACTATTGCTTGTAAATAATTCATAAGCTGTTAGCTATCTAAAATATAATTTAGGCCAATCTTACCCAATCTGCTTTCCTCTAAAAATGTTTGGACTTCATCTTCAAAGATCCCAGTCAATATTTCTGAAGAATGCCAGATTGGAAAGTTTGCTTTCAGCCTGAACCCTCTCTAAAATGAGCAGCAATGGAATCATGTCAAGGGTAGTCCACCCAATATTAAAGGAACAGTCAACTGCTCTAGATATTAGGAAGGATTTTCAGATCCTTGCACATCCATTTCTTCAACTTTCTGGGAGAATGAGGACATACTACTAATCCAGTGTGTGTCATAGGTGCAGCTCATGTCTTCCTCATTCAATGGTTACTGAAGCACATCACAGATGGAAACAATAACTTCTGCCCCTCTCTGACTTTCTCTCCCCCTGCCATTGTGTTCCTCTGCATCCAGTTGCTGCTCAGCAGTTACAGACCAATGGGTAATCGCCCCCCTAAGGTTCTGTTCTATTACCTACGGCAGTCTTCCTCAGTCTTGGCAACTTTAAGATGCATGTACTTCAACTCCTAGAATCTCAGTTGGAGATGAATAAAAATAAAATTGTGTTTTTTTCCCCATCCAAATTCACAAACCAGCTGAAATCTATCCACATATCCCCAGAGGGTCTGTGGACCCAGGTTAAGAACCCCTATATTAGAGTAATGTCCCTAAAACAAAGGAAATCCCACAGCCCAACCCACAATGCCATAGCCTATCTTGGCAAGGGGGTTACCTATTGCTGGTTAAGTGCAATAAACAGTCAATGAGATGGTGGAATGACTGAGCAAATGTTAATGGGGGATTCCTCTACTTTAGGGGCCCACAATTTTATTTTAGGACTGCTGAAGGCCATGGGAAACTTAACAATAGCATAATGACATGGTAGAGCAAGAATTTTCACATCACTTTGATTTTTTGAGGATTTTTTAAAAAACTGAACTAGATATATTAAGCACTTTGAAGGACAGCACACCATTTTATCCCTTATTTGGCAAAAACATGGACAATCTCATTGCTGTTATTCAGTGGTCTGTTTGCTAGCACAGTCCTGGGAGATTTCTGGGATTGCAAAGGGGATGCTGGGAAGCTATTTGTGGATTATCAAGCAACCCTGCTTTACTCAGACTAATTGGACCTGAAACCTAGCGGCCAAAGCAGTGACAGCTTCTTTGAGAAGAGGATGTTCCCCTTTTCAGTATTCCTAGAATAGAAAGAGCGTGAGTTAGTGTGTGTGTGTGTGTGTAGGCTCCTTGTTTTCTGTCAGTGGCTCCCTGTTGTTTCCCGTCTTCCTACTTCTGCCAAACTCTGTGAGAATCAGATGCTGAAATTTGTTCCTAGTAGCTAAGATACCTTGACTGGCCAAAGGACCAACACAGGAATGCTTTCCCTCATTCCACATGCTAGAAGGATGTAACACCATTATCTGGGTATTTGGAGGTTACCTCATTCCTGGACAAACCTCAAATATCCTTGGTTACTGCTCTGGCAGACATAATACTGAATTGGAATAGGAAGGCAGTTTATCTGAATTTGGCTAACTCTAGCAGATAATTGTTGGTGTGTGTGTTGGGGGTGTGTGTGAGAAGGGACCACTCTGAGGTTAAAAGCCTTGGCAGATGAGTTTTACAAAACTATAGGGGCAATTGAAACAACAAAGATTGTTCAAGCCTGATTGCTGTTTCTTTCATATCCTCCTTCAGGGGTGGGCAACAGGCAGCCACCCACAATCTGAGAGCACACTGCCAAACATGTATGACAGTTCCACGTGTATCAGAGACTGTCACTAATACGCTAGCAGTGGCCAGCTTTGTACGGCAAAAGGAATGAATCACAGCAGCACTCACGATCCTTTTTTTGTCTCCTCTAAAGTCAAGGGTAGGAATGGAAGCCAGAGGCCTCCTCTCCTGCCCTTAAATACAACTAGAAATCCCATTTTTCTCAGCCCGACTTTGATCCCGTTTGGTTTGGTTTTTTTCTATTTTGAGGCAAGAATGAGAACAGTTGCAACTTTATATCTGCCTATTTAAGAGTATATGTAATAGGAAGCCTCTTAGCTGTTTAGAGAGGCTTGACTCTTTCTTTCAGGAAAAGGAAAGAGTACTTTCCCTAAAACCTCTATGTTCAGTCAAAAGTTGAAAGCAGCTTGTTTTTTAATCATTTATATTACTGTACAGCTACACTTCCTGATCTGAAAGAGAGTCTCTTGTGTTTTCCGTTCGTTTTGAAAATAACATTCATATTCTGAAACAGTAGGTGGTTCCTTTTCCCCCAGAATGTACCCGAAAGTAAGAGTATTTCCTTGCAAACTCAAGAGGAAGCCCATGAAGTGAAAAAAGACACTTCCAGAACTGAGGTGAGATGACAGAATAATAAAAATTTCTGTTTCAACTTGGTTGACCTTAGTTGATACTTTTATTCTTTTTTAACAACTGTTTTTAGCTTCCTTTTTCTTGTCTTGTCCTAGCTTTGAATTATGTTGTTCTTTACATGAACATAATCTTGTAAAATCTTGTAAAATTTGTTTAAAAAGGAGCCTGGTTCTGACTGGGGTTGCTTGACATATGCTCAGCTGCACCCATTTGGAGGGGGAGGAGTAAAAAAAAGTCAAAATGGTGGCCATGACTGCACAAAGCCCCACCCCCTTTCAAAGCATGTTTTATGCAGCACATGTAAAAAGGGACAGGGCTTCCATTGCATGGTTCTCACTGCCTATTTTGACCTCCCCCAACACACACACATGGACACCCCTGCTATTAGGGTTTCATAAGGTGAGATCTCTTTAAGGCAAGGGTTCTTAACCTTTTTTTGTGCCAAGGACCCCTTTAAGAGTCTGGTGAAACCTACAGACTCCTCAGAAAAATGTATTTGTATGTTAAAATAAAATACATATAGATTGTATTAAAAAGGAAACCAGTTATGGTCCAATACAGTTAGAAAATATTAAAAAATAACAAATATGTAATATAGTAATATATTTGCTTTACTATTAATCCAATAAATCAATAACTGAACAATACATTTTTAAAGGATATAATAATATTAGATAGTGAGATTTATTGATGTTAGCAAACATTTTTGGAGTCTAGAGGCCATAAATTATTTGTTGCCTACAGCTACATTGCAGTTAGAAGTTAGTGAAAATAACGTTGTAACTTTTTCCCATCCAAAGTCACAGACCCCTTGAAATCTGCCCATGCACCGCAAGTTAAAACTCCCTGCTTTACGGTATAAATGCTTGGTATTATGTGCGAATAGCAAGTTCAAAATTAGAATCCACTGAAAATTGAAAGAAAGCTTACTTTTAATATATTGCTATTTATAAACTTAGAATTCCATGATTGGAAAAAGAGTCTATGGTCCCTTTTCTCTTTTGTTTATAATTATAAAATAATCCATGAATAGTTCTAATTAGGAATGAAAACATCAGACATCAAAATAATTGCAAGTAACAGCTGAACATCTCTGGTAAACACCACATGTATACATTGTGGAGCATCATCTGTTTTTTGGCATCCTCAAATCTGGATCAGGGATAGGATATAAACTATATTAAGAGTTTACCCATAACTCATTGCTACTTTCTTCTGTCATGGCTGAGAATTTATTTAGGATTCTGTGCTGCAGTTAATCAACAGAGAATACATCCTGTTGAACTCAGTTATGACTTATTCAATGCTTGGATTGCCTTATGATGGTTTATTTCTTGTAAAAGGTAGTTTTGTCCTTCATTACATATTTTTCAGGAGATACCTGAATGCTCCCAAACAAGGTGCATTTCTGACAGTATACAGCCAGAATCCTCTGAAGTGGGAGAATATATTGCCAGAATTGAGGTTAATGCATCCTATTCATCCTCATTTTGCTGCTGTTGATGGTTTTTTTCAAGCTGTTTTGTTGGGTAACTTACTTCACACCATAAATGTCTGTTCTTCATATTGATTTCAATTTTTCTTCAATAGCCTATGTCACTGATTTACTATTGTGTCATATTCTTAGAATATTTCCCTAAAATATAGCAAACCATATTTCTCTTTCTGATAGCCAGCGCAATGCATATTACTCAGAAATACATCCACTGTGTTCAGTAGATCTTAATCTTCTGTAGGTTTGTTATATGATTTTAGTGATCTAGGTGAAGGTATGCTGATGATTTTGCATGGATTTTTTTTTCTTTTTTCCTGAAACCTTGTTCCTTGAGACAAGACACAGGAAATTCATACTAGCCTAAAACTGAAGGAAGGAAAGAAGTTAAGGCAACCAGGACGGTGTCACTCTTGGAATAGAGTAAAGAAATATGGGGCTTGCCCTGGCACTTCAGTAGCTTTCAAATTAAGAGATGAGATGCGTCTTCAAACATGGGTTGGGCAAACTAAAGACATTATTGCTTGGAGACAGCAGACATTTTATGAAAAAAGTGTCTCTAGGCATGTGTAGAGTGCTTTGTCCTTTATACTGAGGAACAGTGGCTGACTCTTCCCTACACAGAATGAATTAAAAACATGGATGAATCACTTTCACATGTTTCTGCCCTTGTATTTTTAGAAATTGTCCATTGCTTCATCTCTCAATTCAGTAGATGTGTCACAGCTGTGGAATACTGGGCCAAAGTAGATATGCCATCATTCATATTGCTTGCACTTGCATGCCTTTTTAGAGTGTGTATGAGCTCCACAACATGAGGGCTTTTAAGATTTGGTCCCTGTTGAAGATCTAGTGTAAACCAGAACTCCCATCTACTACTATTGTAGTAATGCCATTGCCTACATGTTAGCAGCTGTCTCAAATAAATTGTTCATAGTTTTTCCCAATCCCCACAAAATATTCTCTCCCACTATGTAATTCTCCATACAGACTCTCTTTAATTGACCCAAAGTATGACCCAGAACAAACTGCACTAAGGGAAGGCCTTCTTCAAGATGGGCTTGGCTCCTGGTGATTTCATGGATGTGTTAATATATTTTTCTGGACAACAGTATGGGAGTGGTTTGTCCTTGTATTTTTCCCAATGTTTTTCTTGACTCCCCAGTCTAGCCTACAGAGTGGGATTTCCTGTTGTTTCTCATCCTAACCAGGTCTACCCTACTTAGCTTTCTGAGATTAGCCAAAGCTGCCTAGGTGTTGCAGGGTCCAAATTACAATATTTGAAGTTAAAACATCACTAGTAAACAGTATTTATTTCTGCAAAAGAATTCTCTTTGAGTTTTTGTTAAACTTTCCTTTCTTTAACCACTCATAATTTCACAAATTAAAGTATTATTTAAGAAAAAAACAAGTAGGGGGAAAACAGAATTATGGAAGAGAGTGAACCCTATTTAGGAACTCTAATGTTATTCCTTTGATTTGGGTGCATAAGATTTCTAGTAGAGGAGACAACTTCATTTGAATTTATAAATACCTAGGAGATGATGAGCAGGAGATTGAACAAGATCCAGGAATTGGAAAGTAGCAGATAATAAAAATGCACACTTAAGTAGGAAATAAAAGGTCTCAAAATGGGGATTAAAAATGGTTTTTAGAAAGTGACTGCAATGCACGTGCCTATCTAGAGGACTGATGGGTGTGGTGACATTAATAACCAAGCAATAAAGGCATCTATGATGGCATGATTTAGCTGCTCAATAGATAAAGAGCCAGCAGTTGGAATGAACACTGATTGGAATTATATTTATGATTACCATCAAGCTATGATTACCTTATTACTGACTGCGATGGTTGTATTTCAGATGATAGCTAGGACCATGTCTATGTTTTCCCAATGCAAGCTATATTAGTATCATAATCTAACTTTTGAAAAGAATTGATCTGAATGCCTAAGCTGTTATTCCCAATTTTAAAGCAGATCTTTATAGTTGTTATGAATTGTCTCCATTGTAGAGTTACATTTGGGTTATTAAAATATTTAGCTCAATTAGAAACAGGGTTTGTATAACTCAGAGGAATAAAAGTAATAACATGCTCCCTCAGGTTCCAGAAGTAGCGACTGATACATCTACAGAAGAATCAGATTATGTCTTTAAAACATTTTCACAAGAGCGACGAAGCATACAAGAAAGTGAAGATTATTCATCTACAGAGGCTGAACAGTTGCAGAAGTCAGTTGCTGAAGAGCCAAACCATTTGGTGCATGTCACTACTGAAGAAAAATTAGAAGTAAGAGAAATCATTTTTATATTTCTATGATCTGGCAAACATTGACTACTGCAAACATTTGCCAATCATCAAGTTTTTGTTACCACTGAAGAGCTGAAAAAGGTGGAGTATGCTGGAAGAAAAGATCCAGTGAGTTCTTAAACATGTGGATGTCTATTTGTTTATATGATAACATCTTTTAAAATATATTTGTATTATATATATTTTATATAATACAAAGACTGAAGGGAGGATAAAGGTTGGAAGAGACAGTGAAATTTCAGTAGACAGATTATTAAAATGAGATGGGAATTAAAATACAAACACCCCCAAGATGCTGGCATAGGATGGAGCATATAAAAAATGATATTGGATAGATGAGGAATAGCAGTTAGGAGCAAACATTGCTTTACATCACCTTGAAATGATAACATGTATGATTGATTCCAAATCTGTTGATAGAGCTAACAGAATTTCTTCCACAAGATCGGACTCATAAAATCTATGTCCCATTTCTTAATAGGAGGAAACTTTCAGTCTTTACTGTGTTTCCTAAGGAGCAGCAGTTTCTGCTCCAGAATTTCTAGATTAATTACCAGACCGTCTTCCTATCTTCTCTCTGTCACATATAGCTTCAGAGAAATGGAGGTCTTCTCAGTAGAAAAGAGGTTCCAGGAATACTCCTCACTCCAGGCCAGGCAGTTGCTCCTCACATTCTCTCTTTGGAAAATGGAAGAACTGCTAGAATGGTAGATGGATCTGCAAGGGGCATAGTTGGAGTCTGTGGGATTCCAAAGCATTAACATTCAGCTTCCCTCCTATGGATTATTGAAGGCACTGCTTGGTCCACACATTAGTGCCTTACTCCCAATATGACACTGAGGACCAAGAATGATGCTGGAAGTCTGAGTGAGCATCCAAGTATGTCCCTGAGTAAAGGGGAAAGCAGTCTGTCCATGGAGAATCCTGGTGCATGGCAAATGTTGTTGGTGCTTACTAGCAGTACGTGAAATGCTTTCCTTTTCCTACGGACCTGCCTCTCTCAGAAGGCAAGAGAACTTGACCTTCTCATATCTGGGAATGCAGTTGCCAAAGGGATTTATGGATTTCCTAGGAAAACTATGAAGCAAAGTAGCAGGCATGGCAAATATGCAATTCGCAAGGCATGAAGGAAAAAAGGGTGCTTCCTTCAGTGGAAGGAGATTGAGCCCTCTTGAGAGGGAATTCAGGAGTTTTAAAGGTAAAAGGGCAAGAATTAAGGTACCCATAGTACCCCGTAAACCCCTCTCCCCCATGCAGAAAAAGAAGGGCTGCAAACAAGATGTTAGCAAGCTAAATGCAGCTTAGGAAGACTCCATAGTGGTTTCTTTTTAATTTCACTTTCCTGTTTCTCTTAGAAGAAATGATCTCTTATCCCATAATTGTTAAGTTTATTCAGGAACCTTTAGTGAAGGACTTAGTAAAAAAATTTTTGGAATATCAAATAGATAATTTCTACCTGATTACATGCTACTGTTGAAATTCTAAATAGCTCTTAAAAGCTGGCAAGGTAGGACATGTTTGCTGAATTCAAGATGATTCTTCCTGATTGATCAGTGTGAGTCAGGAAGGTGATACGGTTGTAAAAAGGCAAAAGCAATTTTAGGCCACATCAACAGAAGTGTCCATTTTATACTGCAGTGATCAGACCCAGTCTCAAGTCCTCTGTCCAGTTCTGGGCTTCTCACTTAGAAGGATTCAGAGAAAGTCAGATTCAGAGTTTCTGAGAGTGATCAAGAGACTGGAAATGAAGTCCTGAAATTAAAGGAATTAGACATGTTTAACTCTGAGAAGAGAAGACTGAGGGGCATTATAATAGCCCTTTTTAAGAGCTGAAAGGATGTCACACAGAAGATTGAGACATTCCTCTTTAACCCCCTAGAGAAGATGGCATGAAATCATGGATTTAAGTTACCGGAAGGCAGATTCCAGTTGAATTTAGGAAATTAGTTATTTTTATTTTAAAAATTTATAAGGCTGCCCAACTCTTCAACTACTCTGGGCATGTACAATAATAACAATCACAATACAATTAAAAAACCCAAATCCCAGAAAAAAGCAATCATTAAAGATAATCAAACATCAAGACCCACCACTCACTCAGCCCAGGGCCTGGGGAAAGCCATGTTTTCAGAGCTTGAACATGTGCAAAGTAGGGACCATACAGGGGGATGGTGTTCCAAAGGACAGGCACTGCAACAGAGAAGCATGTTACAGACTCCGTCTATGAAAGAATGTCAACTGGCATGGCCCAGGAAGAGAGCATCTGCCGTTGCCCCACCCTATAGAACACTCCCCCCAGAGGTGAGGTGGGCCCCCACTCTCCCAGCCTTCCAGAAAGGGGTGAAGACCTGGCTCTGCCAACTCGCATGGGGTATGAGGAGGGGTAACCAACCCTGGGGGTGGCTGGCACCCTGAAGATGCTCCCGTGGGTTAATAACCTTTATTTACCATCGGTGCCTTGGAAGACATTATTTATTTATAAGCATTGTTTTATTGTATTTTAATCAGTATTTATTCTTGTTTTATTGTAAACTGCCCAAAGTTGCTCTCTCAGTGAGATGGGTGATGCCTAAATTTGAAATATAAGTAAGTAGGTAAGTAAATAAATAAATAAAATGGTTCCTAGGTCCCATCAGGTGACACTGGTTGATGGATGGGACCTGGATGGGGCCTGGAGCATGCCAAGACTGCCTGATTATACAGGTCAGACAGAAGACACGGAAGACCAGCAGTCCTTTAGATAAACTTTTCCTGATATTAAGAACAGTTCAGTAGTAGAACTACTTGCCTACAGAGGTGATCATTTTCTCTTCACTAAATGTCTTCAGGCAGAGGGCAGATGCTCTAATTTGGTTCCTTTTCACAAAGCAGGATGTTGGAATCAATAGCCTCAATGGACCTTCCAACTCTATGATTCTATGAATGCTTGATGTTCTCTCTGTTTAATTATTCCTAGTGAATATAGCTTTCCAATATTTACCAAAGGAGAAATTCCATTAATTTACCAAGGGGAAATATTAAACTTTAGCTTCTGTATGTCTGTGATTAAGTTGAAGCAGGGAAGCTTAGTCTGGAAACAATTTGAAATCCACACACACACACACACACACACACACACACACATACACATCCGTCTGTCCGTCTGTCTGTCTGTCTGTCTATCTTCTATCTATTTCTGGTCTACAATAAAGCAAACCCAACAATCCAAGATGAAAATATTCAGAAATTATTTTAATCAAGGTTTTGATCATATTCTTGAGCAGCTTGACTTTATTGTTGTCTTCATATAGGACTTTCTATCTTCAGACATGGACTTGATGATACAAGGAAGAGCATTTCCAAAGGCTAGACCTGTTGAAATTCAGAAAAGTATAGAAGACCCTCATTATCAACAACCGGTGTCTCTTCTTTCTACATGGACTACAAAGATCAAGTGGGCTTAACATTTCTTTATGTAGTACTACTGATTAATAATAATACTTTACATTTAAATTAGCTTTAGAGTGATTAAAATCACTCATACATATGCAGCTCTTGTAATTTGTACAAAAACATATGATTGATTATATCTCCACAATGGTGTTTTAAGAGAATAAGGATTTGACTAAGGCCACCTAATGTGTTCACAATACAGCTGGCAGAAATGTTAGCTGATACACAACACAAGTCTCTTGGAAATAAGTTCTTTTTTAATATAAGGAATGCATCTTACTAAATGTGGTTTGGTATTAAGCTGACATGATTTGCCTGGTCCTGAGCTTTTCATTTACTTTTACACTCCACTCTTTTGGCACAATAATATCTTATTGTGGAATATCCTGAGTTACTGCTTCAGTATTTTATTGATGCAGAAAAAAAGCTTTCATAATTAGCTTTTGTTGTGCTTCAAGCTCTGAAAGGTTTCTTGGACACGGAAGAGAGCCTTTTTATGGCAGGTCTGAAGTTTGTAAATGGATATGACTTTCAGTTAAGTAACGGAGAGTAGACTCACAGAAAAAGAATGCCAAAGTTTATGAAACAGTCAAATAGGCATTTAGGTGACCCTGTGCATGCCATTGCTTATCTGCATTGCTTTAAATTCATTTGGTTGGCAAGATTATATATTAAAACAAATAATGACAGCAGACAATGAGTATTTTAGTTCAATAAAAAGTCACTGTCAAATTATCAGCAGTGCAGAAAAAGCATGGTTTTGTGAAAAAAAGACCTATTGAGTGAGGTAAATGTAGGCCACACACATAGTATTGTTTTTCTTGTCTCTTCTTTCAAAGGATGATAAATAGACTGCTTAAGGAGAGTATGTGCTGTAAAAACACACACCTTTACCTATAATGTGCTCTAAATATTTTAGTTTTTGCTATAAATAAATTACCTTTGTCTAATAAATTAATTCACTTTCGGAGATCAAGTGAAGGGATGCTGAAACTTTAATTACTTAGATACATGTAAAACAATTAACAAATTGTGCTGGACAACTTTTCAGTTGATGATAACGTTTATTCAATTCACTTGGTTTATATCTGGATATATATTTGGAAAAATACAGAGTAGTTACTTCTCAGGTTTAGGAGAAGACATAAAGATTAGAATCCAGAAAAAAGTAGAAATGCATGTGATGAAAGTAAAGCTGGTTTTATTGTGATTCATACACTTAGTTCCATAGTTCATCATTTCAAAGTGATTTGCTCTGAATATTTTCTCAAGAACAGTTATCCATTATTTAGCAATCTTTATCTTCTTTCACTACACACATTCATTACAGTTTCATTGAAACATATTAGGAGGTTTTCAGACTTGTCATAACAAACCAAAATGTGATTGTTCGATAGAATAAGAAAACTAGTAATCTGTGTTCCTGAAAGATGCCAGTTTCTGTTCTATGTTGTTATGACAAGGATTTTTATAGTCCTGAGGCTTATATTGTGTAGGTTATATATGTAAATATATATGTGTACACACACTTTTTATAAATAAAATGTTTGTTTTACTCTTTAAAATTGCATGGATGTGACCCAAGAGATGCTTATTTCATTAAACAATGAAGCAGTTATTTATGAAAAGGGTAACAAGGCCCGTCCATCCATATGTTGGGTGTATGTAGGAACAGGCATTGACCTAATATAATAAAGTAATAAAATTAAGAACAAATCAGTTTAATTCAAGGAATTTGACTTTCCTTTCAGATGATCTAATAATATTTTTAAAAATATGGTTAAAACTTTCTAATGAGCATTTTTATTTTGTGAAATATTTGCTGATGTTGGCCACACTAAATAACACTGGTTAATTGACTAACTTTATATCTAGGTAATCTGTTGAAGTTAGTACAATGTGAATTATTTTTACAGACCTTTGTGACTTCCTTTTTATTAGGATTTTGTAATACATTTAATAAATTAATAATTACTTAATTTTCACTTGAACCAAGTCTAGACTGAAGTAAAGTGTGATGAATATATGGATAAGGCACTATAATGTATGCATATATCTCTGCAATATATTCTGCACTGGATTGATTGTTAACCTAATGGCACTGTTGGGGACTTGTGGGTATATAATATATGATTGAAATATGGTTCTGGTTGTTGTACAGAAAGTTCCTCTTCTAATGAATAGTGCAATTATGGCTGCTATCCTATGCATATTTAACTTGAGTAAGATAGTGTTGTTGAAGAGTTGCTTTATAGTCAGTATATACTTGCATAAAAGGCTGATGTAATCTTTATTTTCTCCCCAGAGATGTGGATTACCCACTTATTCATCTTCTATGTACCACTTGTCCTGGATTTGTATTGCCCACTGATCTGCAGCTTGTTTCTAGAGTACATCATACCATAGACAAACATGGTCAAAATATTTCATTACCACCAATTAATTTTGACTGCCACAATTCTGAAGAGCTGTTTCCAGCAACTGCTGCTCTTGAGGAACACATTTACAGAGAAAGGTACTAACATCTAGTACATTGTGAAATGCTTATGCTTATCAGAATATTATAATACAGAAATATAATAATAGTAATTTTTCCTATAGGATGGATATTTTTATGCAACCACTACATGTTCAGTTGTATCCTGGTATTTCAGGGTGATGATATCAGAAATGACCAAACTCTCATTAATTTCAATTGCATAACAAAATACACAATTTGTACAGTAAGATGACCCTGTGAAGTAATATGTGGAAATGTCTGTCTGCCTGCCTGCCTATCTATTTATCTGTTTTTCCCATATCAAAAATGTTATCTTGAAATTTTGTCTAGCAATTGATTAAACAACAAACAAAATATAATGTTTAAAACAGTTTAAAACATTTAACTCTGCTCCTTGCCCCTCTACCCCCACACACTTGGGTGAAGTTACAGTTTTAGTTGATGCCTTAAACATGCCACAGTTGGAGTTTCCAGAATACCAAGGGTGAGAGCATTCCAAAAGGTGGATGGCACCATCAAGAAATCAGCTTCCATGTAACTACCAGACAAATCTGCAGGGAGTCCACATGACACATCCAAAGATTTTAGTAATCAATAGGAAAGGCATTCCACCAAATAATCTGTTCCCAAGTTGTTTGGGACTTTTTTTACTTGCATTTGATTTCCCCAGTTTTCCTTATTTCCCTTCCTTTTCCTGTCGACAATACAGGTAGTCCTTGAGTTACAACCATTTGTTCAGTGACCGTTCAAAGTTATGTTGGTGCTGAGCAAAGGGATTTACAACTGGTCCTCGAAGTTCTGGCCATTGCAGCACCCCCACAGTCACGTGAACAATATTCAGGTGCCTGGCAACCAGCTTGCACTTACGACCAGTTGCAGTGTCCCATGGTCACATGATCGCCATTTGCGACCTTCCCTGCCAGCTTCCCCCAAGCAAAGTCAATAGGAAGCTGGCAAGGAAGGTCGCAAGTTGCTGGGGTAGGTCTCCCCTCCCCTTTCTTTGCTAACACATATCCCATGCCTTCTTTCCTTGACCTCCCTGCGATTGCATGCATCCCACGCCCTCATTCCCCAGCCTTTCTGAGCTTGCACCACACCGAGCACCCCTTCCCGACTCATGCATGGCCTGCACCAGGCCTGCACGGGCCTTCTCCACCCCCCTGTGGCACCCCCGCACTCCTCACCTGAGGCTCCCTCTGCTTCCAGTTTAACTACCTGCACATCTTGGGTTATGATGACAACTGGCACTGCCTAGATTGCCGTTGCTAAGCAATGCGGTCATGTGACATCACACTTTATGACAGCATCACTTAACGACAGCAGTCCCGGTCTGAATTGCAGCTGTAATTCGAGGACTACCTATAGTGAAGCTGGGTTAGCATCTAGTATATTTGCTTGAGGATCATTGTTAGATATGCTTAACCAGGCTCTTTACTGAATGTCCCTACTGAATGTCTTGACTCATTCAACCTCCATTCCAGTTCAGAATCAGTGTCTTGCAATTTAGATGTTTTAACTGAGTGCCATAAAAATACTGATTATATCTACACTTTTTGAATAGCATATACTAGATTAGATAACAATTAGGAATAGTGTTTCAACCCACCAATCCCTCATTCAGTCTACTGTTTCAGTTCAGAATTAGTCTCTCCCAATTTAGATGTTTTAACTGGATGCCATAAATATACCAATTATATCTACACTTTTTGTTTAGCATATATAAACTAGATTAGATAACAATTAGGAATGACGTAGTCTGGTGAAGAGTTATAAGCATTTTGCTTACATTTTCAGGTATGAGAAATTGAAACTGATCCCATACAACTGGACCAGACAGAGTATACAGCTTGCTGCATCCTGTTCTAACAGCAGCATTCAAGTTAACATAGATGGATGATTTTATCCTCAAAGTGTCTTATTAAATTGCCATAGCAGGCATCTGGGGGCTGTTTCATAAAATGTACTTAGGTATCTGAAAACAGTTTTACCCATCTGGGAAATCTCTGCTAAATAACATTTTGAGGATGCAACAGAATTGTCTCCTGGCCAAGTCCATTACTTGGGGCTCCTTTGGAAATCAGGGAGAATAATCATTGCATTTCATCATTTCATAACTCAGTTAGGATCTTTACAGGATTATCAGCTCAGACTTTTGGAAAGGATGCTTTTGGGATTTCAGTATCTGATGAAACATGCCCCTCCCCCTGCATCTATCTACAGTATCTATCCTCCCTCCCTCCCTCCCTCCCTCCCTCTCATTCTCTCTCTCTGGCTTAAGATACAGGTTGATAATCTTTTTAGTTGATGAATGTCCTCCTCCCCCCAATTTTTAAAAAATGGCAGAAATCTACTGGGATTTTGGGAATATGGGTGGGCCATGACTGCTCCTTTAGGGAGCAATAAACATCCTGCTGCCTGTTGACACAAGTTGCTGATCTGTAGCTTTCTGGAGTGCCGTTTTATTCCCAAGCATAGAGGGTAGCAGTGTGAGAGAGTTTTCTAAATGGTGGCATTGCTCTGGAATGTTTTCTCATGGGCAAGCCTTCATGGCATCTATATTGGTATATTTCAGTGCTAGATCAATATTTTTTTTTATTCTCCAGGAATTTTGAATTATTTTAAATCAAGGTGGGTTCATGGGCATCCACAAGAGAGGGCAAGGGAACATTGCTTCCACGTGGATCAGCTAGAATCCCAGATTTCCAACTTCCATAAAAAAGGAGTTTCTATCCTTTTTAGAAGCTAAGATAAGGAAAAATAAATATAGTAAATATTTTTCTGATTTTGTAACAATCCTTTGCCTGCTTTTCAGTGTTTTGAGCTAATGAATGAACAGTCTAATAATGTGTGACACACAAACAGTCTGAAGAAATGAGTATTGCCTTATGCAAAATAATTCAGAAATCCAAATTTTGGTACAGCTCTGTCTGGGGCAGTTCGTTGTTGTTTCCATGCAAATAGTATTATGAGCTTGGAGTTTGGAGTTTTTAATATTTAAAATTCAGATCTTTTAAATAAAAGGAACTTTTAAACACCAGCATTTATGTATCTACAATAGAAACAGTAATCCAGCTGATATATACAGCTAAAGCCTGTTGTTTTAGGCATTCTGCAAAAAGTAGGATGGAGACTGAAACTAAGTTATGCTAGTCCTGCTATTGTCATGATCTCCTGCTTTTCTTAAAGGGAATCATAGGATATTTTGGTATTGAGGTGTGATGTTGACTATTATAATGATGCAGTTTACCAAGAACTGGGCAGATTTGTAGTATGTTTGTACAGTGTTAAATAAGACTGCAAGTTCTTCTTAATCTTAGGGTAGCAGGCTTATAAGTGTCCATTACAACCACAATGATGAGGAAAAATGTGACAAGATGTGCACTGAGATGTCATGATTCAAACCCTTGCTTCTGTACATGCATCTTGATGTCAGAGGTATGTAGTTAGGTCACAGGTTTTGGATCATGGTGTTACAATGCACATTTATTACTTGCCTTCCCCCCCACCCTGCCCCCCAAATACTTGAGTATTCCTGAGAAATTCCTGAGAATCTTGTGTGTTACTTGCAGAGCAGAGGCTGAGGTGATGGCAAACTAGAGCACATGGCATTACACAATTGAAATAAGTTAGGAAAGAATATATTTATCAGGTTTATATCCTGTCTTTTTCTCCAAAAATGTGGTCTAGATATCTAGCAATTTTTTGATCTGCTTTTTGAGTGACCAGAAACAGCTGTCTCATCAGGTTTAAACATTCAATTATTTTCCTTTATCCAGTCCATGATATAAAACATTCTTTTAAGATTTGAATAGCTTCTTTGTATTTCAACTCTTTAGAAATGTAAACAATAGAAAGAAATAATTGGGAATCCCAAGTTTAACCAATGAAAAAAAGGACAGATTTTTATGTCACTTCTCAAGGTCAGGCTGTTCTGTTTTGGTAGATTGCTGCCCATGCTTCACCACCAGAAGAACCACAGGAATTGGTAGTGCAGAAATGAACTGAAAGTAACAGAATGAAATTTAACACAGAGGAATGCAAATTTTGTAGGAAACAAAAAATTAGATGTAGAGATACAACATGAGAGATATCTGACTTGATAATGATATTTGTGAAAAAGATCTTGGGAAAAAAATTGATTGCAAACTCAATCAGTTAGCAGGCTGACTCATTTTTTGCAGATGTTTCTTCAAAAAAGGGAAATCCAATTTTAGACTGCATCAGCAGAAATCTAGTTTCCAAATCATTGAAAATAATAGTTCTAGCTGACTGTGTTTTGGTCAGACCCCATCTTAAGTACTATATACAATTTTGAGCACCAAAAATTATTCAGAGGTTCAAGGAAAGGGAGTGAGGCTGATAAGAGAACTAAAACCAAAGTCCTTTAAAGAAAAATGGAAGGAGCTGGGCATTTTTAATCTTGAGAAGAGAAAATAGAGGGGAGAATATGATAGCTCTTTTCAAATACTGAAAGAATATCAGACAGAAAAAGGTCAAAACTTGTTCCCTATTGTTCCAGAGGGTTGGACATACAGGTAATCCTTGCTTAACAATCACAATTAGGAGCAGCAACTCCCATCGCTAAGTGATGCAGTCATTAAGCAAGACATCATGTGATTGTGATGGGCTTATGTCCTTACTTCTGCCACGGTTGTTAAGCAAATCACCTGCAGTTGTGAAGTGAGATACCACATGACTGTGACTTGCGATTTTACTGCGGGCTTCTCCATTGACTCTGCTTGTCGGAAGCTGGCTGTGAAGCATGCAAATAGTGATCACATGACTCTGGGATGCTGTGATGGTGGTAAACACCTGCTGGTTGCAAAGCACCTGAATGTTACTGCCGGGACACTGAGATGATCATAAGTGTGAGGACTGGTTGTAAAGTTACTTTTTCAGTGCCATGGTAACTTTGAACAGTCACTAAATGGGGCAGACATTAAGCAAGGACTACCTGTAGAATAAATTGTAGGAAGACAGATTCATAATGAATGTTAAAATAAAACTTCCTAATA